GAGAGAGTGTGTGTGTGTGTGTGTGTGTGTGTGTGTGTGTGTGTTGGCCTTTATCTTCTCCTGCTGAGTCTTCCTCCTCCTCCCCTTCCTGGGAGTGTGTCCTCCTCTTGACGGGGAGCTCCTCAGGCTGTGCGCTCCCTCCTCAGTCGCGGTTCCTCCGTCTTCCCTCATCCTCGCTGTGTGTCCTCCCTACGGCCAGCGAGTCCTTCCACATCCGCTCACCGCTCTGCCCTTCACACAAGTGCCTTTCCCCCATTCCAGGGGGCCAGCTCTTCTCTCCAAGGTCCTGGACTGGGTCTGTGCACCAGGTGCCCGCAGGCAGCGGGGGCTCCAGGGCGATGAACCCCTGGGTTCTGACTGCAGCTCGCTCTCTCCACTTGTCATCTTTGGGCAGCTTTGATGTCAGGGGAGATACTGCCCGGGGTTTCTTAGCAGCCCCTCCATATAGTTCCAGTCTGGGTGGCAGGAAACCCTGGCAGACCTTAAGGAGAAGTTAACCTGGGCACTTTCTGGGGCACCCAGCTGCCTGCGCTTCTGGCGCATTGTGGGGAGCACGTTTCCATGCTGGGGCTCCGGGCACCTCATCTTCTGCAGAAGGGGCTTGTTGAGCAGTGTCCAGCAGCCCTGCCTGTCCCCCTACCCCCACCCCCGGGCCGTGCCTGCCTTGTCATCCTTCTCTGAGAGTCACACCGCGTGGCCAAGCTAACCTGTAGCCCAGACTGGCCGCCGGAAGGTGAGCCCTCCAGTGGGGAGTCAGACCTGACTTCTCCATCTCTCCTCCCTGTCTGTGGCCCCTCTTCTGCCGAGGTGGAGGGAGCCCCTGGACCTTGCCTGGCCATTCTGCAGGGGTGGCAGCGGGTGGCGAGACAGTGGACTTGGAAGCCAGGCAGACCTCGGGTTCTTCGTGGGCAGACAGGCCTTCTGCTCCTCGCTGTGCTGCTCTGTGCCATGGGCGAGCTGCCGTCTCAGGCCACGTAGGTGTGAGGGTTAGAAGCAGCCTTCTTCAGACTCCTCATAGGTGCTCAGTAAACGGTGGCTGCTATTATCACCACCACACCCTTCTCAGGAGCTCCCGGATCCCGACTCAAGGAAGACACCCAACACCTCCCACCCCCAGGACAGTCCGAGGGGAGCTTTGCACCCGTGCCAGCCCTCTGCGCCGGGGGAGGATGCATGGAAGGATAGAGACCTGCTGGGCTGAGGGGGTACCCTGGGCACAGTGCCCCCCCCTGCCAGCGCTGCCCAGGGCAGAGGGCACACGGGCAGGCAGCCCCGGCCAGCAGAGGGGCTGGCGGGCTGGGTTTGACCCTTCAGACTAACGCCTTCATTTCTCTCCCACGCTTTCTCCTCCGGCCAGGAGCGGAAGGTACACTCCCTTTCTGCTGACTTCTCTTCTCAGCGCTTTTGAGTCCTGTGTGTGTGGATTCTTCCATCCGTCCTCCCTGGGGGCTAGGTTTCCTTGCGTGCGGGGAGGGGCTGTAGCTGGGGTCGGTGGAGGGGGAGCGGGCTTTGTGGGCCGGGGTGTTGCCTCCGGGCCTTACCCCTCCCTCCCCCCTCTCTTACAGGTTTTCATAGAGCTGAATCACATTAAAAAGTGCAATACAGTCCGAGGCGTCTTTGTCCTGGAGGAATTTGGTAATTACACTATTTTGCTCTTAGGTCTGGACCACGTGGCAGTTGCTCACACCGAGGCGCTCCAGAGGAGGGCCTGGGGACAGGGAGGACGCCGGCTGGGCCCGGGCTCAGACCAGCAAGCCGTAGACGGGTTGGGAGCGTGCGGTGGCACCCCCGGGGCTCAGCGCCCTCTGCCACTCTCCCTTGCTTGGCTGGCAGGTGGTCAGGAAGTTCGGGGCAGAGCAGACTGGCCATCCCCAAGCTCGGCTGTGTACATGTCGCCTGCTATGATCCCTCTAGCAGCCCAGTGCTCCCTCCCGGCCACCCCGGCCCCCACGCCGTGCTGGATGTGGGGCACCCCGCTCCAGAGACGGGCCCCTATGGGCCCCAGGGTCAGGGGTCAGGTATGGCGGCCTCGAGAGCCGGGTGGTGTAGGGTTCTCACCCCGGGGCTTTGAGCTCTGCTGTTTGTGCTTCATTCTTGCGCGCCCCTCGTCGCTGCTGCGAAAACCTTCCTTCTCCAGCAGGTAACTGTGATCTCGGCTCCGCTGCCTCTCCCAGGACCCTGCGCTGGGTGGGGCGGGCACCCTACCTCCCTCCAGTCGCGCTCAGGGTCTTCGTTCGCTCCACCCTCTTCCTGCCCTGCACTGGCTCACTGGTTCGCTGCCCACTCTCGGCGTGTGTGCGTCCGTGCGCGCGCATGCGCGCGCGCTCCGGGCTTCTCTCTTCTCCAGAGGGGACTAGGGGTGCTCTTCCAACCCAGGAGCTGGACGTGGGGCTTCTCGCTCTGCCCCTGATGAGGCTGTTCCCTGGGAGCCCTGGTTCCCAGAATTTGGCCTCCCAAGGTGCCACCACCTCTCCTCCCCTTCTGGCCCCAGGGCTCACCAGGGCCCTGTGCTCCGGGCTCACAGGCTGGGAACCTAAGGGCCTTCCTCCTTCCCCTAGCCAGGCAGACCCCTGCATGGCTGGGGCCCAGGCGACTCTTAGCCTTGCATTCCGGGCTGTGGACGTGTGTGTATTTTGCCTGGCGCTCCTATCACCTCCCCGCCTTCTCTTCTGCCCGGTGCGTCTGCTCCCGAGCCCTCTGACGCTCCCCCTCACACGGCAGGCTGCTCCCACCACGGCCAATGGATTTAGTAGCATGTCATGTGGCCTCTTCAGCTAGCCTCGGGACCTTCTGTGCAGGGGGCTGGGGTGGAGAGGCGGTGCCACGTGACCAGGGTGTCGGGCTGGTGGCAGGAACAGGCTCATAGGCGCCTCAGCAGGCTGAGGCACAGGCGAGAGCCCAAAGCTTGGGGGTGCCCCCTGCAGCTCCCCAGGGGCCCTGGACAGTAGCAGAGTCCAGGCTAGTGAGAAGTGCCCCCTCTCCTCCCGGGCTCTTCGGGCAGAGTAGTAGAATCCTGGCCACTGAGCAAGGAGCCCCGACAGGCAGGGAGCCCCTCATAGGGATCTAGCCGAGGCCTCTGGGGCACGGTCCTGGCACCCAACAAGCTCTGGACAGACCCTCCAGTGGCCTCTGCCCAGTGCTAGCCTAAGCTGCCACAGCCACCGCGACGGTCCACAGGGGACGGGGACCCTGGTGCCAGGCGCTGCCGCCTGAGGAAGTGTGGCACTGCCGCTCTCAGTCTTGAACTTTCTGTTTTGTCTCTCGCCTGTCCGGGTTTAGTTCCTGAAATTAAAGAAGTGGTGAGCCACAAGTACAAGACGCCGATGGTGAGTTTGCCACCACGTCTCGCCACACCACGCCTGGCAGGCCAGCCTGCGCACCGCGTCGGGGCCTGGGAAAGCACAGGGCTGAGCGGGGATCGGGGAGCTCGAGAGTCCAGTCTGGCCTACAAGCCGAGGCCAGAGCCAGCGTCAGCCCAGGGAGAAACCCACACGCAGTCCCTCGCTCCCGGGAGGCACCTGAAGCCTGGCTCGGGCTTGGGGACCAACCCAGCGTTCGGGCAGGCCTGTCCTTCACTCGTGCAGTGGGGCAGTGTCCGTGGTAGTGACCTCCCTGTTACTGTTTCCACTCTAGGCCCACGAGATCTGCTACTCTGTGTTGTGTCTCTTCTCGTACGTGGCTGCAGTCCGAAGCAGCGAGGAAGACCTCCGAACCCCGCCCCGGCCCGTGTCTAGCTGACGGAGAGGGACGACACAGCTGCCCAGCCCCAGCCGCCCCTTGCTGCCCACCTCCTGCTGGTCCCATGCCCAGGGCTGCTGAGACGAGGGTGCAGGGCGTTTGTCTGCAGGCGCCTCTGAGGCTGAGCTCATTGCCAGCCGTGTGTCTCCCAGGCATGGCTTTGGATGGACGTGCCCATAGCCGAGCTGGGCTAGTCTCAACCCCTTCTCCTCCTGCCCACTCAGGGCCCAAGAGTGTGTGTGCACGTGTGCACGTGGGTGTGTTAGGCCAGTGGCTTCTGAGAACTTTGCGTGTAAGCCAGTGTGAGTCCACTGTTGGGTGTCCCTGTGTTGTTTGCTCATCTGTGTTCTTGGTGTTGTAAGCTCCAGTGTGCAGCCTGGCTCTGTGCCCTCAGTGGGGTGGGCAGGAGACCAGCCAGTGGCCTGCCCTCCCAACGAGGTAGACAGAGGACCGAGGGGATGGGGTGGATAGTCAGGGACAGCTGGCAAGAATGACCCTCCACCCTGCTTCCTTAAGCCAATGTTCCTAGCTGGCTAGGCTCCTGCCGCCTCAGCCTCAACGGGGCAGTGTTGAGGGACTTTGCCCAAAGTCCACCTCCCCCATCACCCCCTCCTCTTTCCACCGCCGCCGCCGCATGAGAGCACAGTGTGCTTGGCCTGACAACCCCAGGGACCCCGGCTGCTTGGCTGAGAATCAGGGAGGGGCCAGCTCGATACCCATACCTGTGTCTGCAGCCAGGCCCTCCTGGCACCAGGTGCCTGGAGGGAGAGGCGGCCTGGGGATGGGCACGAGCTCATTGTAAATAGTTCTGCTCCACATTATTTATAGAATGTGTACAGCTGTGTGACTGTGAAATAAATGTCCTTGACCCCTGACTGCCTGAGGGAGGCTGTCCCCAGACACTGAGCTGTCAGGAAGCAGGGAGCCAGGGCCAACTCCACCCCAGACTCTGGCACTCTGGACCCCCAGTTCTGCTGCCCACTCCTTAGCGGGGGTGGGGGGGCTGTCTTTCACGTGGCACCTTGGGCCCTGCTGAGGCTGGGTGTACTGTGAAGTGGCCACTAGAGGGAACCACTGCCACCAGTGCAGACAGACAAGGCCCTGGTGCTGTCAGAGAGCCACGTGACTCGACTCGGGCAGAGGCTGGAGTGCCCTTGGGTTGGGCAGCTCAGTCTTGGTGGGATTTGTCTTCTCTGCCATGCCTTCTGGCACTTGCTGGGCAGGAAAGACCCAAAAGCACCCTCGCTGATGAGTGCCCCTCACGGAGGGAGGAGCAGAGGAGCGTCCTGACTCATGTCTGGAGATGTGGGCTTGCTGATCATGGGGATCCCCCCTCCCCATGCATCTTCCCTGCTGCAGGCTGGGAGCAGTTGGGGAGAATGAGCAGCCTCTTGAGCCTTGTCTAGCGCTAGGGGCGATGTCTGCCCGAGGCTTGTTCTCAGGAGCTGGAGACCAGCGCCAGTGCTGAGAATCACTTCTCCGAGAGTGACGAGGCCGGACCAAGGAAGGTGTGATCCTTTATTGCCCTGACACACGTGTAGGGGGGGGTGCAGAATCTGATGGGCCCTGTCCCCCACCATCATTGCCCGGGGCCCAGTCCCCCAGACTCCCCTCCCCCCCAGTGCCAACTCTACAGCACTGGTGCCCAACTCCACCCCCACACCCCACCAGCAGAGCAGAGGAAGATGACTGCGCCGGCTCCCCAGGCTCCGGGCTCGCAAGGCTGGTGCAGGGCCGCACCTGTGGCACAGGTCCCCTCGTGAGTGCATCGACAGGGACTCCCCCACCCCACGCCCTCACTTCCTCTCAGCCAGGTGTCTGCGTGGAGTACCTACCTAGCCACCGCCTGGCGGGGGGTCTCCTGGTCACTAAGGCACTGTAGGAGAGGAGGCCATGCACTGTGTGCCATTCCTGCCTGCCCTGCATCGGCCCCCAGCCTTCCAGCAGCCACCCCACCCCACCCCCAAGGCCTCCCAGGGCTATGTTGTTGGCAGGGCACTCGGGTGGGTGCCCCGTGTCCCCCAAGGTTGGCCCTGGCCAGGGCTTCCTCACCTCGCACCTCCAGGCGGCACTCGCTCTGTGCCTCACCCTGCAGGTTGGTGGCCCTGCAGACGTAGACGCCCCCATCGAAGGGACAGGGCTTTCGGATCTCCAGGGTCAGCACGCCCTGCTTGCAGAACATTCGGAAGCGGGCGTCCTCACCCAGGTCCAGGCCGTTCTTGAGCCAGGAAATCTTGGGCTGTAGAGCGGACAGAGGAGCCATCTCTGGCTACCAAGGCCTGACAGGTCCCGAGGTGCTCCCACACCTCCCATGTGCCCCCACGGAGCTTCAAGGCTGAGAAGACACCGCCAGAGCCAAGGCCTGCTGGTGGTGGTGGTTGGCAGGGAGAGGAGGGCGCCCGGGGATCCTAGATCAAGGCTGGAGGGCTGTACCTTGGGGCTGCCCCGGACAGCACAGCAGAGGACCGCATTGTAGCCGGCAATGACTGAGCGGTTCACCAGGGGTCGCGTGAAGCTGGGGGCCTCGGAGAAGTCCAGAGCCTTGTAGATGGGTGGCTGATACGTGGTGCCTGTGGCGGGCAGCACTTAGTACCCGGAGGGCTACTTGGAGGGAAACCCCCCGCCCCCAGCTCACCCTGGTGGCAGTAGGCACCTGGTCTGGGGATGAAGACGGGCTCCTTGGTGGTGGCAGCCTTGTCGCTGGGCCCCACCATGTTATGGCTGAAGACTCGGAAGTAGTAGCCATTGCCCACGATGAGCTCGGGCACTACGCAGTGCAAGCGGCGGTAGTGCTCTAGGACCGTGAACCACTCCTGCAGAAGGACATCGGGGCTGGGCTTCCCGCCTGTGGGCGGCCCCTCCCTACCGCCCCGCCCCCAGGAGGGGGCTGGGCCCGTGGGGCAACCTGGAGCCCCCGCTCACCATGGTCTTCTTGTCGGCCTTCTGCACCGTGTAACCCCAGATTTCCGTGTTGCCGTCGTCCTGGGGCGGCTTCCACTCCAGAGCCACATTGAAACCCCAGGCCTCGGTCACGCGGATGTCCTGGGGAGTGCTTGGCTTATCTGCAGGGAGACCACCTGGCCTGAGTCAGTGGTCACTAGTCTGCCACCTTCTGCGGGGCTGAGAGAGGCCCAGGACAGGCACAGGGCCACGCCCCCACCTCCTTGCCCCACCCCCAGGGGCCTGGAGCCCAGCTTGGGAACCAGATACGCGTGGGGTCGGAGGTCCAGGGTCACGCACCCACGATCTGCAGCAGCAGGGTGGCCTTGGCCTCCATGCTCTCGATGCGCACGGTCACCTGGTAGGTGCCCGAGTGGGCGCGGCGGGCCGAGCGGATGAACAGGATGGTGTCTGTGGGGCTGTTTCGGATGCTCACCTCCTCGCCGGCCAGTGGCAGCCCCTCTTTGGTCCAGGTGACCTGAGGCCGGGGCTTGCCCTGAGCGGGAACAAAGCGAGACCACCAGCGCTCTGCCATCCAGTCAGGTCCCACTCAGTGACCCTGTGTTTTCAGAGGCCGTGGGGGTTTATGGGAGCCAGCAGTCTCCTTTCTCTGGAAGAGTAGCTGGTGGGTTTGAACCATGGACCTCAAGGGGAGCACTCCCATGCAGCTCAACCCTGGCCTTCCCTGCGTGTGGTGGGTGTGGGCTCAGGGTTTGGATCCAGTCATTCTCCGGACAGGGAAGGGGCCTGCACACCTGGAAAGGAATGAGCAGGTTCACGGGCTCCCCAACCTTCTTCTGGATGGTCTGACGCAGGTGCCTGGGCAGCTGGAGCCGTGGCCGCTCTGCGGGTAAGGGTGGGTGGGCTCAGCCAGGCCTTCCCACAGTCCCAGCCTTGTGGGAGCCCCTCCCACACCCCCACCTTCTTTTGTCAGGCAGGGCTCTAGGGGCTGCAGCTGAGACAGGAGCTGTCTGGCCCTTGGTTTAACTTCACTCAAGCCCACCCAGTCCAAAGAGCTCCCGTTCCTGATTGCACCTGAACCTCACCGCACTGCTGCATGAGGCAGAGATCAGGGACGGGGAGCAACGTGGTTGATGCCACAGTGGCAGCTGCCTGTTTCCAACTGTGACAATGAGTCTTAAACCCAGTCCCTTCATCGGGCCAGGAAGCCGGTCTGGGACAGGCCCGTGTGATCCCAAGTGGTCTCCCCGTTGCCTGAGAACTGAAACTCGAGAGACACAGATCTGTGGATAGCTGAGGTCTGCAGCCTGCCTCTACCCTGAGGGTTGGCATCAGCTCAGGCGCCACTGAAGTTCTTTACACGTTCCCTACTCAGAGTACCCAAGGAAGCAGGGCAAGCACGGGCTTACTTCTGCTTCCTAGGTCTGGCTGGCAACTGTCTCAAACCCACAGCACCTTCCTACAGAATCAAAGCCTCTTTTCAAAAGGACAGCCCCTGACACGGACAAGCTTCCTTGTGCATCCTTACTAATCTGTGGTGAGCAGTCTCAGGTGTGTTTGGTGTGTTTTAACCACAGCGTGTTGGTGAAAGTCAGGTGAAATTATTCACACCAGGTAAGCCTGTGCTTACCTTGATTATTGGGAAATCGTCCCTAATAATGAAATTTAAACAAGCTGCATTAGGTTTTTCTTAGTGGGTCTTCTCAGAAATGTTCTGCACACACTGATGCCAGGAACACATGGGCCCAAGGCCACTTTAACATCTTATGACTCGGGAAAGACCTTTGAGGACATCCCAAGGAGCACCCTGAGCCCCCACCCACCCGGGGAACACATACTCTTGCAATCATGGTCTGTAATCACTCGCGGCAACCCCTCCTTCACTCCATAAGCCAGTCCTTGGAAAAGCCTTGCTTTGCAATGCCCCTTGGCTCACTTCCAGAACTGCATGTAGTCCAATCAAGAGCTTTCAAACGACTCTATACACGGCCTGGCCTCAGTTGACTTGCCTTCACCACCTTCACACGAGTCTGGCTCCCATAACCGAGCCCTGAGATGCCAGTGTGTGGATGAGATACCCCCACACACTCACACGCACCAGTCCAGCACCCTGACCCTTCCTCTGGCAGGGGACCCGGCACAAGAACTTGAGTCTCAGTGACAGGCCCTGTGACTGGACACGGGCCAGGTGGCGTGAGGGAGACAAGCAGCCTGACATACTCACGCAATATCTCCTGCACCGTCACAGGCTCCTTGGTGGTGACGGCCCCCCCGGGTCCGGCCACATTGTGAGCCCGCACTCGGAAGAGCAGCCTGGCCCCTGTGGGCAGGTCCTTCACCAGCATGGCTGTACGCTCAGTCAGCCCCTGCAGGGCAGCCATCCACTCTGAGCCTGGAGGGGTGGGGAGGCAAGGCTGAGACCGAATCAGCAGCAACAGGCTGCCCCACTGCCTACCCACTGATGGCTGGCTGGGGTCTCTGCTGAGGACAGAAGACCCAAAGGGTGCCAGGGGCCTGGCCTGGGCAGGGGCACTCACAGCCCTCTTGGCAGTACTCCACGCTGTATCCGTCCAGGCCTCCTGCTCCCACACGCTCTGGGGGCCGCCACTTGAGAGAGACCGTGGTATCAGAGACATCCTCTATAGCCAGGTGGGTGGGTTCACTGGGGGGTGCTGGGCAGAGGGGAGACCAGAGAGGGTGGTGAGGGAGCCAGCACCTGGAGGAGCCCTCAACCTCCCACTAGTCACAAGGAGCTTCACTCCAGTTGACTTTAAAACACTTTAGAGAATATCTTCACGTCGTTAAGGCATGTCTTGGGTCGGATTAAGCAAAATCGCCCCCATCTAAGTCACAATAATAACAGGCAAAATCAACAATAGTTACCCGCAGAAAAACCCCACGGCTATTGAGTCAATTCCAACTCATAGTGACCCTGTAGGGCAGAGTAGAACTGCCCTCTGGGGTTTCTGAGTCTTGACAAGCACAGAAAGCCTCACCTATCTCCTGTGGAGCAGCTGGTAGTTTCAAACTGCAGACCTTGTAGTTAAAAGCCCAACTTTTAACCCACAGTGCCAGCAGGGCTCCTTAGAGTGAACAAAAGATCTAAACAACAAAAACCCCTGAGCCCTGGTGGAACACTGGGTTAAGCAGTGGGTTACTAACGACCAGCCACTCTGGGGGAGAAACACGAGGCTGTCTACTCCTGCAAAGGCTTTCTGCCGATGCCAAGAAGCAGTTCTGGTCTGCCCTATAGGGTCTGCATGTTAAAATTGATTCAGCAACAGTGGGTTTACGTAACAAAAGACACAGAAAAACACACTCATGCCTAGAAGGCGAGTCCCCTCTGCGGGTGCAAGAAAACCTACACGTGTGATTGCCAAAGACAGCTGAAGCATGCTTCCCCCTTTCAGAAAAAAAGCCAAAATTACTCAGCACCCTCCCTAGGAAGGAAAAACTTTGTGCTATAGGCCACCATCCAGAATAAAGCGTAGGTATCTGTTTTGCAGCCACCCCACCCCTGCCCACAGGGGGGTGGTATTGCCTGCTTTGGGAAGCATTGAGCTAACCCATGAGCATTTCCAGGCCCTATGTGATGAAGAGGGATGGCTGGTGGCAGGGCTTGTGCATTGGCTTGCTAATCGCAGGGTCAGCAGTTCAAACCACCAGCTGCTCCGAGGGAGAAAGATGAAGCTTTCCACTCCTGTAAACATTTACAGTCTCAGAAACCCACAGGGGCAGCTCTACTCTGTCCTACTGGGTCATCATGAGTCAGAAATGACTCAATGGCAGTGAGTTTGGTTTTTGTGTGTGTGGTTAAGGGACTAGACTCAGAGCTGAGCTTACAGAGATGGTCCCTGAAAAGGAGGTGGGGCCCTTACTCCCAAAGGCACAGCCCACTTCCTGCCATCCTCCAAACTCTGCTTTTACCTGGGGCAGCCGGCGGCAGACTCCCAACCCATCTGTTCCACCCTCCCAGCCCACCACACTGGAAACCAAGTCTTGAAGAGAGAGGCGACCCCAAACCGTCCTGCCAGGGAGTCACAGGGCTGGTCCAGGCAAGCCACTCAGGCACCCCCACCCTCGCCCTGTCCCATACATAGCAAACCCTGGGCTGAAGGAGCAGGGGACACAAAATGTTAGTTGAGCCCCTGCTGTGTGGCATTCCACTCCACAGAGCCCGCCTTTATCCACACTTTTTCCAGGAGGAAAGTGTGGCTTGAGAGACAGGTATCTGTCTGCCAGGGCCCAGAGCTACCACTGGGTGATCCTGAGCAAGTCAGTTCACCTCTCTGAGCCTCCTGTCCACCTAGGTCTAACACACACCGCAGAGAGACCTGGTGACATAGTTCCACGTTAGGGTGTGTGATCCACGAGGTAGGCAATTCAAAAACACTGGCCCCTCTGCGGGAGAAAGACTGGACTTTCTATATCCCCCTAAATAGTTACAGTCTGGGAGCAGTTCTACCCTGTCCTGTCGGGTCGCTATGCGTTGGCCTCGACTAGATGGCAGTGAGGTTGTTTGGTGCTCCTGTGGACACGGGCACCTCCCCAGGAACCTGCCCTTGGGCGTGCGCGGCGGGCGACCTCACCGATGGGCATGAAGGGCAGCGAGGCAGGGCTGGGCCTGGACATGCCCACGGCGTTGACGGCGTAGACGCGCATCTCGTAGGGCACGCCCTCGATCATCCGCCGGGCCTCCAGGCTCAGGTCCCGCAGCAGGTCGAAGTTGAGCCGCATCCAGCGGTAGCTCTTCTTCTTCTTGCGCTCCAGGATGTAGCCTGGTGGGGCGGAGGCGGGCACTGTGTTCTGGGCGCCCAGCACCCCTCCCCCGACCCCGCCCTCGCCCTCGCCCCGCGCTGTGGCGCTCACCCAGGACAGGCTGCCCGCCGTCGTAGGCAGGCGGCTCCCACTGCACCGTGCACGAGTCCTCGCCCACGTTGCTGATCTTGGGGGCTGCAGGGGCATCTGGCACATCTGCGGAGGTGGGTCCGCGTCACCCCCTGCCCCTCCCCTCCTCCCAAAGCTACCTTCCTAGAGGGCAGTGCCGACAGGGAGGCCACGTGGCCGACAGTAGAACTGCCCCACGGGGATGTCCCGGGCTGTGATCTTTAAGGAGCCCTGCGGGCGCGGTGGGCTAGGCACTGGGCTGCTAATTGCAAGGTCGGCAGTGCGGACCCACCAGCCAGCCACTCTGGGGGAGAAAGAGGAGACCACCCGCTCCGGTAATGATTTCCATTCTCGGAAACCTCAGGGTGGCCGAGGGTCAGAACTGACGCGATGCCATTGGGTTTGTATTGGAATGTTGGTAGAGCAAGGCCACTAGGCCTTTTTCCCACTGGGGCTGGTGGGTTTGAACTTGTCAATTAACAGTCATCACCTGAGACCTAATCAACCTACTGTGGCCTCTATTCAATGGCCTGTGTCCCCCCTCTCTCTCGGCCCCATCTTCACTGTCCCCCCCGCCCCAGGTCACTTACTGTAATCATTCACTCACCCTCCACACCCAAAGCCCTTCCGCTCGCCCACATTGTTATGGGTACTGTCTCCTCCCCACAGCCCCCCAACACAATCACAGCACGTCTACTGAAGGCTCTGTGTCTAGCGCCCTCTTTAAAGACAGAGCAAGATCTGTCCTGTTCACTGCCTGGCTCCGAGCGGTGTCCCAGGACACTTGTTGAATGACCACGGGCTTGGGGGGGGGCCCACACAGCCTTCCCTGGCCGGCCTCACCGATGACCTTGACTGTGAGGTTCACTTGGTCCTCGCCCACGGGATTCTTCACCGTCACCGTGTAAACGCCCTCATCTTCCTTCTCCGCCCCCTCCAGGGTGAAGATGCTGCGGTCTTTGGTGGTCTCCACGCGGACCCGGCCCTCGGTCTCACACAGCAGCTGTGGCCAGGGGGGGAAGCTGGGGAGTCAGGGCCCACCTAGACCCCAGAGGCCCCTGCAGCCTTTGTCTGGCAATAGGACCTGCGCTTCATCCAGGCTCCGGGGAGGGGCTCACACACAGCCCATGTGGGCAGTTTTCCCAGGCAGACAGCGGCTTCAGGAGCATGTATTTAGCACCTACCGTATGCAGGGAAGTCTCAGACATCCTCTCCAGCTTGACCATAGAGCATGGCCACTCACCTAGTCTTTCAGTGCCTCAGTTTCCCCCCTCTGTCAAATGGGAAAAAGGAAGCCTCCCAGCAGTGCTGTGCTGGCCGGGGGACGGCTCTGCAGAAGGACTAACAGCCATGGAAGAAGAAAGCAGAGAGGGGCTGGCCCTGATGGCGGCCTCACTAGTCAACTCAGGAAGAAGGGCGGGTGGGCATCATAGTAGCCCCCTGGCAGTGTCTGGGGCTTGGCCACATGACATAAACCTACTCACTCCAGCGTGCACCTGACTGAAGTGTGAGAAGGAGGCCCCTGGAGCCCCTCGCCGGCCAGGTGTGACTCTTGCCTGCCTCCCTGAGGCACCTCCCAAGTGCGAGCACCTCCACGGAGACCTTGAGGGACACGCGTCCACTTCAGCCTCACTCACCTTCTTGTCAAACACCCACTCTTCATTGGCTCCTGTGTCCTCTGGGCCATCAGAGGCTGGACCCACTGCAGCTGCGCTCCCCTGGGAACAGAGCCAGAGGGCCGAATTGGGGAGAGGGGCTGACTTAGCTTGGATGGAATCCCTGCCTGACAGCCCCTCACTTCTCCTCGGTCCCCTTAACACCTGTCACTAGCTGCTCACCCTGCCCACTTCCAGGCCAGCTGGACCTCAGCTCCCTGTGAGTGACCAGATGGAGTATGTGGGGGAGGGGAGGATATGGAGTTGCCCCCCCCCCCAGCCTGCTAGTCCCACAAACCCATTTCACAGACGGGAGAGTGGAGGGGGAGCCCTCGGCACCTGTGTGCTCTTCTGCCAGATCACGGTGGGCGCCGGGTCCCCGGAGATAGGCACGTCGAGACGGAGCTTGTTTCCCGCCACAACAACGATGGTGTCCGATGCGCAGCCCAGGCAGTCTAGGTGGATCTTGGGGGGCTCTGGGGAGGAGCAGAAGGCCCATGGCAGGGGGATTGGGAGAAACACAGGGCCCTGAGAGGTGCGGGTGGGAGAGCCGGGAGCTAAGCCCTTGCTCCTGGTTGTCATTCCCTCGGTGTCGTTGGGGTGCAGGTCACTCACAGCAGAAAGCACGGGTCCGTGCCTGCCTCCAGTGAGCGGGGTCGGCACGGACCATCCTGTCACCAGCACCTAAGTCCAGTGACAGTCCCCTGGGAGCTGGGTCACAACCGTTTGCCTAGGGTGGCATTTCTCAGACGGTCTTTGGGGGAGCACCCACGTCTTGACAGGAGGAAAGAAAAAAGGGTTCTGTGGCCAAATTAGTAGTCAGGTAAGCGTGGCGGACAGGGTGACCCACAGTTCCTTACAGCAGGGTTTGTCAGAGCCTTGAACGCACGGGTGTCCTTTCTGAGTGGCCAAGAGGCGGACAAGCCTTTAGAGTCTGGTCACGTGCTTGGAAATACCACCCGAGTCCTCTAAGGAGCATCCTGGCTATTAGGAACCCCGTGTGAGAGGTGGGGAACTTGAGGCTCACAGAGAGGAGCCGGTGGCCTGTAGTCTGATGAACGGCCGAGCTGGGGTTGGGTCTCAGGATCCCCACGCCCATGCAGGAGATGTGGGTAGAGTGGGGCGCAGGGAGGTGGGGCCCCTGAAACTCACCCTGCCTGGGCACGAAGTCAATCTTGACCTCTGCAAGAGAAGGAAGAGCAAGTGGGACCGGAGCCAAGAAGGGGCCAGCAAGCTGCCCCTGGCCCTGCCCCCCACCCCCCACCCAACCCCCCGCGCCACTCACCCATGAAATGAAGCTTGGCTGACAGGTTGCAGGCGAAGCCCTCCGGCACAAAGCTGTAGTCGGCCTCGTCTGCAGGCGTGACGTCATCAATGGTCAGCTTGTGGACCCTGTGGACCATGGTGGCTTAGGGGGCCCGGGGACTCTCGCCTCATCTTCCTAGTGTCTTGGTGTCCAGGTTGTTAAAGTGCTTTCTCCTTCATTGGCTGTGTCTCCTGCCCTTGTGTTCAGGGGGGGGCAGAAGGAGGCCACTTCTCTCCTTGGCAGGCCACTGGGGGCCTGGGCATTGGCTGATCCTTGCTAATCTCTGTGAGGCAGGACCCAGCACGGGAGCCCAGTTGCTCAGGTGATGAGTTAAGAGAGTGGGCGGGAACTGGCCAAGGCTCTCAGGAGCAGAAAGCTGGCGCCCTGAGGGTCGCCACCTGTGTGTCCATCTCCTCTGTCTGCTTCTGTCTCTTAAAACAGCCCCTCTTTCTGTCTCTATCTGGGTGTGTGTCTCTTTGTCTGCCTGTCTCTGCCTCTGTCTCCCCACCCCACTCTGTCTACCTGTTGGTCCCTCTGTCTCAGTCTCTGTCCGTGTGTCTGCCTCTCTTTCTGTCACTCTGTCCCTGTGCTTCTCTGCCTGTTTCTCTCTGTGTCCCTCTACCTCACCCAGCCTCTGCCTCTCTCTGTCTCGGTCAGTCTGTCTGCCCCTCTGTCTCCTCCCCTCCATCTGCCTGTTTCTCCCTCTGTCCCTCCAGCTCAGTCTCCTGGCCCCGGCACTCACCGCCCGATGTGGGACACTTTGATGCGGCTATCCGGTACCAGCTCCCGGCCGTTCTTCAACCACGTGCCCCGCACGTTCTCATCCGACACCTCGCACTTGAACACAGCCTGGTCTTTGGCGCTCACCGTCAGGTCTGCGATGCTCTGATACACCTCCAGTTTCTTCTCTGGGGGCAGTGCACAGCCAGTGAGCTCAGGAGGGGGCGTGGGGGTGGGGGGAGGCCCCAGGCGAGCACTTGGGCCCCCGGGTGAGTGCACGTGTGAGTGTGTGAGGTGGTGATGCGCTGAGGGGTCACCTCAGCAGGCCCAGGCTACAGGCGAGGAAGGTGAGGTCCAAGGTGGCAGAGTGACTAGCCAAGGTCACACCGACCTTGAATCCAGTTTTCCTGATCCCTCTATGTGGCTTGGCAGGGATGAGTTGAATTATGCCCTCCTGGGAAACATTGGACCACAAGGTCATGGGTTCAAGCCCAACCACCTCTCAGAGAGAACTATGAGGCTATCCTGTTCTGGAAAAGATTGACAGCCTCGGAAACCCTAAATAGGTTCACCAAGTGCCAGACTTGAGTCAATGGATCAGGAGTCCTGGTGGTACTGCCAGGTAAGTATTAAACTGCTAACTCCAAGATCAGTAGTTCAAACCCACCAGCCGCTCATTGGAAGACAGATGAGGCTGTGTACTCCTTGAAAGCTTTGCAGCCTCAGAGACTTGAGATTAGGGGTGCTCTATAGGGTCATTAAGAGTGGACAGTGAGTTGTAGAAGTCATGGGGTGGCAGTGGGTTTGTTTTGATTTTACTAGGTGCTGGGATTCTTTGGCAAGAGGGCTTTGTTTGTGACGCTAATGAGCCCACCTCCTGGAAGGGATGCAAAGAGAGGCTCAGCCCCAGAAGCAGGTACAAACAGGGACAGACAGACCCCACTTGAGGATGGCCAGGGGGCTCCCCCAGGGCCTGGCCCTGAGTGCCCCCTGCAGCCCCTGCACCACGAGAAAAGACATTTCTGGCGGTGTCTGTGCAGCCGGCCCGGGCCTCACCCTGCACGATGAGCTCGGCCAGTGCCTGGCCCCCGCTGGTGCGCAGCGCGTAGTGCCCCGCATCCTCCAGCGTTGCCTCGTTAATGATCAGGTGGTGCCTGCGCCCGTCCTTCTTGAACCGGTATTTGAAGGTTTCCTCCCGGGTCAGCTCCACGCCGTCCTTCAGCCTGGGTGAGCCGGTGGGCGGCAGCAAGTGCTGGCGGGGCCTCTCTCGGCCACCCCCTGCCCCTAGGGATGCTGCCCGCCCCTGCCCCAGCCTCTGGCACTCACCACTTGACCTGAGCCCCCTCCTCCGACACCTCACACTCAAACTCCACCCGCTGCCCCACCATCACTAGCTGGTCCTCCAGCGGGCGCGTGATCAGGACCGGGGGCTCTGTGGAGGCAGGGAGGGCTGGTTGGACCCCATCCTTGTGGCCCTCACGGCCCCCCTTCCCGGGGTCCCCAGACCCACCTTTGACGAACAGCTCCGTGCTGCACTTCTCACCGCCCACCACGCACTGGTAGGCCGCGTCATCAGCCAGCGAGCACTGGCTGATGGTCAGTGTGCGCTTGTTGCCAATGGACTCAAAGATATACCTGGCAGGGGGCGGTGGGGTGGGGAGAAGGGTGGGGGGCTGAGAGCCAGGGACTAGCCTCCGGGGCCTAGGATGCCCCCCTCAAATCCCCTCCCTCATCAGGGCCCTGCTGCACCTCCCACCCCAGCCTTCCGGGGAGCCGGGACTTACTTGCTGTGGAAGAGAATGTGCCATTGGAATGTCCCAGAGAGGAGGACGGGAGACGGAGAGACAGAGAGAGGAAAATTAGAAGCACCCAGAGAGAAGCGGGAGGGGGAGACAGGGAGAGGAGAGACGGAGGGGTGGAGAGAAACACAGGCTGAGCAAGGCTGTGAGATGCAGCCTTTCCCCTGGGCCCCTCCACCCACTCACAGCACCCGGTGCCCCACCTGCCACTCATATGGATTTCCTGCCCGTTCTTCAGCCACTTGACCTCTGCGTCCGGGTCCGCCAGCTCCACGGACAGCCGGATCTTGTGGCCCTTGCTCACTTGGTAGGCCGGCTCCAGCTTCCTCTGAAAGGCTGCGGGTGCATGGCCCCTCAGTCGCCCTGCTCCCTGCCTGGTCCCCCACTCTCCCCACTGGCTGGCAGAGGCCAGGCCCTCCACTCACCCTTCCATGCCCTCTTGCCCCCTCAGGACACCTCTGTTTCTCCAGGGCCACTTTCTCTGTCCTGTGTGTCTGCCTGCCTGCTCTGTGTGAGTGTGTGTCTTTGTCCCCCTATCTGTTTTCCCTAGGGTCCTCTCTGCCTCCTCAGCTTAGTTGGTGGTAGGAATGGGGCAGGGGGCTTCTAGAAGGAACAAATTCTGCCAGGGGAGGGGAGGTGTCTCAACTCCAGGCCCTCCCCACGAGCATGCTGAGCACACCTGAGGGGGCACCGCCAGGGTTACAGAGCACCTTCCTCTCCACGACGCCGGCAGTGGCTGCCCGTGGGGAAGGTGGTGTGAGGGGGTAGGGCGTGCCTCTACCTCACGGGGCAGGTTCCCAAGGCCTCCAACGGCCTGGCTGAGCCCAGAGCTGTGCTGCCCTTCGCCCTGAGTTAGTTCCTGAGCAAGCTTCTCTCTACCTCACGGCGACCCCAGAGGACAGGGTGGAACTGCCCCTGTGGGTTCTGAGAAGGTCACTCTTCACGGGAGTAGACAGCCTTGTGTGCTTGTTGCTGATGGAGGGGGCGAACCTGCACCTTCTTCTCCAGGGTGGTGGGGCTAACCTGCGCCTCCTTCTCCCTGATGAGGGCTCACCAGGGCCTCTCCTCTTCGGGGTGGGGGGTGGTAGGTGGGGGCTCATATGCGCTCTTCCTCTCCTCCCCCGGGGCGGCTCACCTGGGCCTCTCCTCACCTGTGCTCTTCCTCTCTTTGGGGGGGGCGGGCTCACCTGGGCCTCTCCTCACCTGTGCTCTTCCTCTCCTCGTGCTTCATGCCCTTGAGCCTCTTGAGCATGCCTCGGAGGTCGGTGACCCCGTGCTGGAAGGCGATGCGCTCATATTCCGAGGGTGGCGCCTGCCGCAGGATCTCCCACACGTCCTCCTCGGCCTGGGCTTCCAGCTTCGAGTCCCTGTGTGCCCGCAGAGAGGCCTCAGGAGAGGATGGCAGCCCTCCCCCTTCCCTGGGTGCGGCTACCTGGGGCCCAGGGCCCACAACTGCCCTGACCCTCGGGGCCCTCCAGCCTCTTCTGGGGCAGTTGCAAGCCAGCATGGGTCCCGGGCCAAGTCTGAGACCCAGGGGGCTTAAGGCTCCGTCTGGGGCCTGAGGAGGAAGGGGTTCCTGGTAGAAGTGGGGGTGAGGGGTACTGACTCAGGGGGCCACTCACCGCGAGATCCGGAAGCTGCTGCTCAGGTTCGGGGGGTGGGGGTGGGCGGAGACAGGGATATGTTAGAGATCAGGGCCACTTCCCCACAAAACCCTGAGACCCCCACCCTGTGGGCAGCCCCTCCATCTGTGGAATGCACAGGCAGGACCTCTGCGGACACTGCCTTTTACCCACCCAGCTCTGCCAGGAGCCCCTGGGGGGTGCAAGCTGTTCCGGGTCTGACTACTAGCCGGAGGCCCCGTGGAAGAGAGGCCTGGTGACCGGCAGGTGAAAGGCTCCAGCCTTGACAGCCTCCCGCAGCAGTTCTGCAGTGCACACACGGGGGGCACACACGTGGGGGGCGGCTTCACAGCGGCTAACAACACCCAGCTCTGCCAGGCGGGGGTCAGGATAGACATGAGGCTGGGAAGCCGAGACTCAGCCCTGTTTGTGGTCTCCTAACCTCACCTTGCACCCGCCACCCCCACCCCGCCCAGCCCCCAGGCCCTGTTCCTTACTCTCTGAACAGCAGCAGCATCCGTGAAGGCCGGAGGGACAGGGCAGAGGGAGGGAGAAGACAGAGGAGGACACAGGTCAGCTGTGCTGGGCTGCTGAGCAACCCCTGCGGCTGCGAGAGCCTCTCCTAGCTGCTTTGGGGTCCTGGAGCCCAGGGTGGGTGAGGGCAGACTCAAATCTGCATGCAGGGCAGTTTCGAGGGCAGCAACGTTAATGCCTCCCAACACCAGGGCCGGTCCTCTCAGCAGACAAGGAGAGTGATCCAGAGCGGTGTCGTGACCGGCCTTGGGTCACAGCAGGAGAGCGGTGTGGCTGAGATGGAGACCAGGCCTTACACCTGCCGGGCACCATGACGTGGGGACTTACCTCTTCTTCAGCAGGGAGCTGAAGTCCAGAGTCCCTGCGTCCTCATGGCCATCGCTGTGGAGAAGAACACCCACACCCCCCAGTCAGGTCCCAGTGAGGGGACTGTGTGGAATGAGGAGGAAGGGACCCTGGCTGGACTATGCACTGAGCCCCACCCATCTCAGACCCCAGGTGTCTGGGAACAGGGCAGGGGAAGGTACCTGATCCGCCGACCACCTCCAGACAGGCTCCTGTGGGATGATATTCTGTGTCCTCACCTGCCCAGGGCACTGTGCCTCTCCCCCATTGCCCCCACCTCTGGCCCTGAGGGGTCTCAGAATCTAGCGATGCTTCTACCCAAGCCCCGAGGAGAATCGGTCACTCACGAGCGGCGGAAAGCAGATCGGAGGTCCAGGTCGCTGTGGCCAATGGCCTCTGGGTACAGAAAGGGGAGGGGCCGTCAGAGGGGGTCTTGCCCTGGGGTCTGCATCTCTGTAGACCCATTTCTCCACCCATGACCCACTAAGAGTCCTTTCGCAGGACCGAGGTGCCAGGGCAGTGGGGACAGTCTGGAGTCTCCAACACCCCCCACCCTCTACGCCCCCCCTCATTCCCCCAGCTCAGCCTCCACTGTTCAGATGATCAGGCAGTGCCAGGCCCTGTGCCAGGAGCCAGGAAGACCAAGATGACCGAGACAGGGTCCCAGCCTAGACAAGATCTGGGCGCAGCTGAAACATGCCCCCAGCCTGAGCCCGAGGCTCCTGTGGGACCCTTCCACACCCTGCTGGGCCACCCTGGGCCCGGTCGGACAGGTGGTTGGCATTGCAAGGCTACTGAGAGCAGTTGCCACCAGGCCGATTCTGACCCATGGTGTCCCACAGGTGTCAGGGTAGAACTGTGCCCCCTGCGGTCTTCAGTGGTAGAGTTTGTGGAAGTAGATCACCAGGCCTTTCTTCCGGTGGGCAGCCTGGCACAGTGACCATCGTCCCAGCCCAGGGACTCCTGGGTGGGCTGGGGGTGCGCTCTACTGCAGTGGGTGGGGGCCAGCCCCCTCACCGTGGACGGTGAGGCTGAAGTTGCAGCTGTCAAACTTGTCCTTGGTAGATACCTCGCAGCGGTAGCCGCCGGCAGAGGCGGGCTGGGTGTCGGTGAGGTGCAGCTCAAACAGGTAGACCTGTGCAGACGCGGGGTGGGGGGGTGTCAGGGGAGACAGGTGCCCTCACCAGGGTTGGTGAAAGGCCTGGGAGGGCTCCCACTCTTTCTCTTCACCCCTGGAGACTTGGTTAACCCCCTCACCACAGAGCCGGTGCCAACGGGGAACAGGGCTCCTTTCCCAAGACACACGGACCACGGGACAGGCTCCCAGTGCAGTGCACAGCCCCCGCCCCCGAGCGTGCCAGCCCTAGGGCCCTGTCCAAAGGGGCAGTGTGGAAGGGGGCCGAGGGTGGCGTTTCTGGCTCTTTGCGGCTGTAGAATCCATTCTGGCTCAGGGCGATGTTGCCGGGCCGACCACGAGGAGCCTCTGGGAAGGTTCAAGTTACTGACCTTTGGCCTTGTCATGGGGCAAATGACACTGTTCACACCACCAGGGTGCCGAATAATAATTGTTCTGGTCCACCCTGGGGGTCCCTGGAGCTCTGCTGCCCACTCCACCAGGGGTCTTACACCTTCGCAGGCGCCCTTTCTCTGCAATTCTCCCCCCCCCCACCCCCGCCCAATTCTTTACCGTGTGCCCTGCTGGTCTGAACTGGGCCCCAAACTTCATCGTGTTCCCCTGAGACTGACGTACCGACCCCCCAACTTCTGCTTCCCCATCCCCCTTCCTCACACCTTGATGCCTCTTGAGCCGCCTGCTGGGGGCTCTCATGGGTCTTCTTCACCAGCTCCCCTCTGTGCCCCCTCCTCCCAGATTTCTCTGTCCCACGTCCCACGTGCTCTCCTCCTTATGTCCCTTCCCCTATCACCCTCCTTGCTATCCCACCCACCCCTTCGAGGGCTCCTCCCCGTTTCCACATCTCCAACTCTAAGTCTCCTCCCCCAGTGCCCCCACCCCGCCCCAGGCCCCCACCTTGCTGGCCCGGTCGTAGCTGTCATGCAGCTGCAGGTGCTGGCCCGCCTTGCTGCTCAGATCCATCCACTTGCCTTTAAACCACTTGACCACAGGTGGTTTCAGGAGGCTGGCCCCGGCGACCCGGGCTGAGAAGGTGATGCTGCCGCCTGCAGGGGAGGGGTGACACCTGGGTTGGGGGGAAGCCCAGCTGTCACCTGCCCCACCCGCCCCTGGGTGCAGCAGCCCACTCACCTGCTGTCACCTCGCCGTCCTGAGGCCTCGTCACAAAGAGACCGATGGGGTCATCGGGAGTTCCAGAGGACCCGGGGACCGGACCAGTGGAGGGTTCTGAGCTTGGCCCTGTGATCAGAGGCCTCTGAGAGCTGCCCGGGCCCCCTCCCTTGGGGCCTGCCCCTCCCTGCCCAGTCTGCTCACCTGTAGGACTTGGGGAGCTTCCTTCTAGCTCAGAGGCTGGGGCTAGGGATCCAGGGGCCTCCGCGGGGGCAGGGGCAGGAGCTGGGCTGGGGGCTTGGGTAGGGGCCAACTCCGGCTTCTCTGAAGGGAGGAAGGGGGTTGGAGAGGCTCTGTCCCCCTGTCCCTGGCTCCTTCTTACTCAGTCTTGCACAGACGCATACACTGCCCCGTGTCCAGAGCGCTGTCTGAAGCCCTCGGTCGCCCTGCTTCATCCCTCCCACCCCCCTGCCAGCATGAAGAGACCCAAGCCAGCTCCCTCCGCTCCCAGCCCCATCTGGTCCTCCTAAGGAGTCCTGGTGGCTCAGAGGTTAAGCACAAGGTCAGTGGTTCCAACCTCCCCTTACAGCTCCATGGGACGCTGAGCCAAACACCCAACTTGTCATCCTAGTGTCACCCCTGTAAGACAGGGCACGCCTGCCCTCCCTCCGAGGGTAGCTGGGCTGTCCATCTTTACGGAAGCAGGCTGCCACATCTCCCACCCTAGGAGCAGCTGGGGGGTTGCCGGCTTTCCTGTGAGCGGCCTGGAGCTGAACCTGCTGTGTACCGCTCAGGGCTCCTTCTATTAGAGCTTCTCAAACTCACTCCCTGCCGACCAGTCCATGTTGACACACAGTGACCTGCCGGACAGGGTAGAACTGCCCGTGAGCTTCTGAGAGAGGAGAACTCTGGACGGGAGTAGAATGTCCTCCTTCGGAGCGGCTGGTGGTTTAGAACTGCTGGCCTTTCGGATCACAGCCCAGCCTATAACCACTACGCCACCTACATGCCAGACACGCCATGAAGCCATTCCACACTGTCACACGGATTAGGAGTGAAGCCAATGTGACAGAACTCACTGCCCGTCCACCCTCCCAGGAAGCACACACTGAGTGGAGAGCCCTCTCGTAGTCCTCCTGGTAACTGTGGCCTTGCTCCCCTGGAGGGTGGGGTCCGTCCTCCCCTCCTCCCTGGGCTGTGCTGGGGCTTCCCACCGTGCTGGCAGCACCCAGGGAAGTGCAGTCACCTCACAGGAGATGGGTGCCTCAGTCATCTCTGTATTCTCTCACACCCACAACAGCCGGAGCAGCTTGGGGTGGGGATGAGCACCTGGGCCACCCCGCAAGGGGCCTTGCTACTGACAAGGGGACAGAGGGCAGAGCCAACGCAAAGGCACGCATCCTGGGCACAAGGAGAGGTGGCTGGGCTGCCCCCGAGGGACAGTCTGACCCGGGGCTTACCTGCCTCTGTGACCTTCAGGTCAAACTTGACCTTGGAGGAGCCAGCAATGACTGCATAGAACCCCTGGTCGGCGGGGCCCACGTCCTGCACGGTCAGTGTGTGCCGTGTGCCCTCTGCCACCAGGCGGTACTTGTCACCCACGCTGATGTCGCTGCCTCCCCGCTGCCAGCGCACCTTCACGCCTGCCCGCTCTGTCTCTGCTTCGAACACCGCAGAGCCACCGGCGGCCACCTCGGCTGACCGGGGCTTCTTGCTGAAGGCTGAGCCTGAGGGGCCAGAGCAGAGGCTGTAGGACCCCCAGCCTCCCAGCCTCACCCGGGGGCCCCTGCAGCCCCTCTTGTTCCCACTGTGACCAGCATCTTCCACGCATTCCCCCATTCAGTGCCCCCAGCAGTTCCACCAGGCATGCCCACTTCTCAGATGCAGACACTGAAGCTCAAAGCAGCCAGTAGGTGGGCCCTGGCCTCAGTGTCCACACGAGCCTAGTGTTGCCTTTGTTCCCCTCCTCCCACCCCTGTCCGGGAGGGTGGGGAGAGGTGTGATGCCCTGCCCTGCCCCCTGTCACTGGCGTGGGGCCCTTGGCAGGGGCTGGGACTCTATCTACTTGGAATGTGGCTAAATTTGTCTTTCAAGGGCCTCAGTAGCCGAGATAAAGCTGCCTGAGGGGGACGTGTGGGGAGGGGCAGGGTTCCAGCCCTGGGTGAATTTCTCTGTCCTTGGCCCGGGCTCTCCCAGAACTGAGGGGCTGCAGGCCGCTCAACTCGGGGAGAGGGTGGGGGGCACGCCTGGGGTGGGGGGCCCACCGGGGAACAAGATCTTAGAGCTGGGGAACCTTAGGGACAGTGGACCTAAATCCTCCTGGTACAGATGGGGAAACTGAGGCCCAAGGGTGAGAGACGCCAGGACGAAATGTGGGCTCTGCCAGCATGGGCCTTTCCCCAGGTGCCCACCCAACCCCCCGGCAGGGGGCAGGAAGGGATCCCCCTAGGTCCTGGATGTGGGGAGATGGCCCCCGGGTGGGGGACGGGTGCCACCCACCCCAGGGTCACCCGCCTTCTCATCGTTGAGAAAGGAGAGAGTGAGTATTAAGCAAGAACCCAGAGGGCCTCCGCTGAGGCCTGGTCCTCCCCATCCCCTCAGGAACTAGTTCCGACCGCAGCTCCCCAAGGATCGCCAACCCACATAAGCCCCCTTCAGGCCCGACCAGAAACCCGGAGTTACCTGACTTCTTCCCGGGCTCTGGCATCTTGAGAGAGGTCACACAGACACCCAGCAGGCACTCTCTGAGGGACTGAGAGGGACAGGGGCCCCCTGTACTTTATAAGGGACTCCCCCCACCAGGCCCTCCTTATCTGCCTCCCCCTGGCCAGCCACTAAATATAGACGAATTCCAGGGCGCTGAGGTCTCTCTGCGAGAAGGTGAGGCCTACGTGGCTCCTGGCTGCTCTTGTCCCCGCCCCCACCCCCAGCGCAACTCTGCCAGCTTCTGCTCCCCAGCCCGCAGCAGTGGCCCCCAGAGCTAGCCGGAGCCTGTACACCTGTCGGGACAGGCAGGCTGTGTGGTGGGAGACCCCACTGTCTCCTCTCTGAGGACCAGGGGTCACAGGGGTCAAATGGATCCTTTGCCCGGCCCCCTCCTAGATGCGGGAAGCAGAAGTCTGGGGCAGCGAGGGGCAGTGGCCCTGGATGGCGCTGCCCGGAGTCCTGCCTGGGGAAACGAACACCAAGGATGAGGACTATATTCCCTAACTTATAAGAGAGGGGATCTGGAAAGCTGATGTGTTAACTAGGGAAACAAATCCACAGAAACTCATATGTATAAGAGCGAGTTTTATATGAAGGGTAAGTGCACATTAAGAAAGCATCCCAACCCAGTGCCATCCAAGCCCATAAGTCCAACATTAGCCCCTATGTCCGACACCGATCTACAAAGCCCTCCTCCATCTCATAAAACACACGCAATGACGCCGACTGCAGGAGCAAAGCCCAATCAGTGAACGTGGAAGCATCTCAGCACTGACAGGGGTCTCCATGCGGCTGCTCCAGCACCCAGGGCTGCATCGGGGTAGGTCCATTCAGCTTCTCCTCAGGGATGTCTCGCTAGAAGTGAGCCTTGATAGCTGAAGCAGGGAACTGGCTAAGGCACTGCACCCTGGTTCAACCATCAGAGAGCAAGAGACCAGAGAACTAGAAAGGTGAGGATCACCAAGCCATTTATCCCTCCGCCCTTCAATTAACCCCACATGTGTTTATCAGCCAGGTTGGCACA